TTTTTTTTTTTTTGAGTAAAATAAGTAAATTCGCTTACCTCTAAAAATCTAAAATAACCCCCCAGAAGGATGAATTTCGTAACACAAAAATTAAATCTTTTCTTTTTTGAAAATTAACTGTTTTATTCTTTTGCTTACAACTCCAGTTTGCTCGACTCGGTCGATAAGTTCCTCCCATGCAGCTTTGTTGTATTCTTCCATGATTGAGGCAATAAGTATTCTGTCCGGGTACTCTTCTTTCAACTGTTTAAATTCTTTTAGCATTGTTTCTAGAGGACGGTCGCTTATGAGCTCGATATTTTGCCACCCGATCACCTGTCCTAATGCCGATCCATTTGCTTCAGCCCGTAACTTGGCATACCGAGGGGTCACATTTACGACTTTTTCAGCATCCAGTGATACCTACACAACGAATTAAGGATTTCTATTTTCATTTTTTGCCCATTCTTTTCAAAAAAATAATATAGTTGTCAAAAAAAAAAAAGTTTATCATGGCACATCTTGTTCAATTATTACTTAAATTCTTTTGTAATTTTACGGGATCACTATCCTAATATCCATATTGACGTATCATTGGTCCAGTCGCCAGAAAGGGAATATAATATGAGTAACAACGAGCAAACTATTTGCAGACTTATCTGTAAACGATTAAGTTTTAAAACGCAAGAATTAGGGAAAACTTTTTGATGTTTAATGTTCTATTTCACAAACATATAATCTAATTAATCCCTTGTCTAAACCCTACTCTCTGATGCTTATTCGAATTAATCCATTGGCCAAACTTCCATTCATAAGTTCATTCAAGCAAAGGCAAAATTTTCAAACACCATAAGGGTAGAAAAATGAAACATGACAGAGAAAGGAAAAACCAATAAAGTAAATGCAGGTTCTTAAATATAAACTTCATTAGTTGATCTTTTTGATATTTCAATCAATTATTATAAGTTAAGCACCAAGGACAGCTACGGCTTTATCTGCTACCTAAGAAAACTATGAAGCTAATTTACATAAATAGATTTTTAGCTACCTTCAGCATAAATTCATCCCACATCGCCTTTTGAAACTAAATCCTACATCTTTGTTGACCAAACAAGAGATAACAATGACAATTCAATAACCCATGAAAGTTCTCAAGCAATCAATCAGGAATACCAAACAAACCCAGAACAGAACACTTCCAATAACAACCCAATGAAAATCCAAATCAAGACTATATAACTGATGGGGTCGAGAAAAAGATACCGTCTTGGCGATGACGGCGCCCCAACCGTCGTCAAAGGCCCGTTTCATGACCTTGTAGTTGGTTCCAGGAGGGCCCGACCCGATAACAAACGGGTTCGGCATCTTCAGCCCATTGACGGTCACGCTGAGATCGGGCTCCGTGTCGGGCTGCGTCGCGTACACTCTGAACCCGACCCGGTTTTTTACTGGGCCACCGAAGTTCGGCCTCCGGCGAGGTCCGGCAGACGGGAACTCGGCCGCGGAGGTGCTGATCTGGGTCGTCAGCTTTAAAGAAGCCATTTTTATTTTCTTGGGCTTTCGGTGTAAGAGAGATTTGGGTGGAATTGAGAGAGCTGGCAGATAGGGATGAAAGTGAGGATATCTGGTTAAATCAGAGTTTTCAGTTTAAGTATTTTTGTTATGAAAAGTGATAAAGGGCCAACAAAGACACGCAATTACTTGCTAGTTCAGTTGATTTGGTTTGGAAATTTGGATGAATGATGGGTTGTAAGAAATTTTTTATTTAGAAGTTGTTGAGGACACAAGTCAGATGAGGACAAATTTTACATAGGATTTATCTAACTTAGAATATTGATTAGGGAACAAGGTTTGAATAATCAAATGACCCTATGTCACTCTGTAATATCCACAAGAAAATAATTTCAGTTAGAAAAAAAAAATAAAAAAGAAGCAGTCGTTGACCACCCTCTTCCTGTAGTCGGAGCGCGGCGCCCACAAGACCAGCCACGACCGAGTTAACTGAGTTGTGGTTGGGTCATCTCCTCTTCTGGAGCTCTGTGGAAGTCTCGGCTGACGGTGGTTCTCACTGCCCCGCCTAGCTCCCTAACTTCGGAGAGGTCACCGGTCGTCGTGTCTGGCCCCCAACAGATGGAAACTGTCGATTTGCTGGAGATTTGGTCTCACACGCCCCATTTATGATCTTCAGAGGTGTTATCTGCTCAGTTACGCTGTTGGTCTATGATGAAGATCGTGTACGACGATAAGATTTTGCGTGAACGGGCACACAATATAGACACTCCGACACAGATAAGCTGAGGACTTCTCATGGTGCATTGAATGCACAAGCAGACCGAGTTCAGAGGCGAAGTCAAATGGCATCTCAGTACGAGTCTAAGCAGCTAACTGAAATGAGGGGACTAGATGATGTAGCACGGAAAAGATCCAGGTGGACCAGCTTGAGTCGTGGGCTCGGGTTCGGTCGGTCCAACAAAGTTTATGCCCGCTTATGTGATTTAAAAGAAGAGTAATGCTACAAGTACATAATAGTGTACATAAGAGTGTACATAATACTCACATTGAGTGGACCCACCAAAAATAAAAAATCAAGTGGACCCACACCATGTGAGAGTTATGTACACGCTACATTTATTATGTACATGTAGCATTTTCCTTAAAAGAAATATGGTATTGGTTAAATACCTATACAAGATTTACGAAAGATTCCTAAAAAAAATCGAAATAAGTTGGTGCATATCTACACAGTTATTAAGAAGAATCTGAATCCTTGGATAAGAAGGAAACTCTTTGTCTTAGGAAGTAAGTTATTAAACTCCTTATAAATAAAGGATCCAAGTTTTATTTCCACCATAAACTCTTAAGATTTCTCAATATACACGTTTAAAAATGATCAGTTTTCTGACTTGAGCGTCGAAGTGTCTACCTCGGTGCCTTGCCCTCGGCACTTTGTACGTCGATCTGTTTCTTTAAGATGAAGGTTATCAAAACGAGGTGGTTCGTCCGACAATCTTGGTGAATTGTCTTTTGACGCATCACCAATAATGCACCATAAGCTAAATGTACCGTGTCAACATTTTATTGAAGCACTACTCCTATTTTTTCATCAAATGCTTAAAATATTAAAAGAAAATAAATATAAATATCACGCATGACTTTGGCTGAATGCTTTTTTGAAATATTTTAGAAGAACAAAATCAAAATCATAAAACTATTAACTAAAAAGAAAAACATCAGATAAAATTGTTACATATAATAGTAGTAGTGATATGTACAAGATTGATTTTTTAAAACATAGAACTTTACATTTTATTGTTAATGACTTTATTAAGTTGTGTGTTACTATAATGTATTCACTTAATATGTAATTTAATGATAAATGAAGGTTTCAACCATAACTAGAACTAATAATTTAGAAATAACTAATAAAAAAAGTATAAATATTCTTATATAGGGAGTATCAATTGGCTAGATACATTAAATATTTTCATTATATAAAATAAAAAGAAGAATAAGACTACATCTATAAATTTTATAAATAAAATAATAATTGAGTATCATACAATGAATAATAATAAGTAATATTTTTATTTTTCTTATACCAAGGAATAAGTATTATATATTAAAATTAAATTTATATTAATATAAATATGTTCGCGGGATAATATATTCATTAACTTACGAGTTAGCACTAATAGGCTTATGTTTAACTTCCTGAAAAACAAAAATAACGCTGATGTAAAGAGGTTGAAAATAAATAATCCAACTCTATTATCTTTTAAGCCTTGACGAATAAGCTCTATGAAAACAACTCAATCAATATTTATGTGATGTGCATTGAGAGAGCTACTTAACAGACAAACTCAATGAAAATGATTCATTTTATCGTGTATCACACGGGCTACCCGACTAATAATTAACTCGCGGTAAACGATTACTAGACGAGTTGTTAATAATTAATGACAATCCGAGAATGCAAAATTGGAAGAACCTTCCTACCTTGCCGACTAATAATAAGCCAAAAATAATTAAACCGAAAACAAATACACCACGCGGAGCAAGGAACAGACGTACAATCGGAAAGTGGAAAAATCAAATCAGAGTGAAAAAAAAAAAAATATGGCGCTTCAATGGATGATCCTGGCGTACGTCGTGGCGGCGGAGGCCGCCGTCGCAGTTATACTGACACTGCCATCCCCGAAAGCTGTAAAATCTCGCATCGCCTCGCTCGTCTCGCTTGTTCTCCAGCCGTCGCTGTTCATCGTGCCATTCTCCGCCTTCCAGCTTCTAGGTATGGTGACTTTTATCCTATTTTAATGTTTTTTTCGAGTTAGGGTTTCGATTAAATTAAGATTCCGTTAGTTTATTTGTTTGTTCTCTGCTAGACATTTATTGGAAGAATGAACATAGGCTGATGTGTAGTGGGGAGACCTGCACTGCTGCTGAGAGGGATCGATATGAGAAATCGGTATTACGTTTTGTTCCTTTGGCCTTTTTCAACATAATTTGTTGTCAATTGATTCTTTGAGTAGATTAGTTTTTTGAGTATTTGCAGAAGTTGATGTGTTTTCTGGCAGATTTTTCGAGCAAGCACAATTTTTATTTTATTTTTCTCTTTTTTTTCTTTGTATGTTTCCTTCTAATTGGTTGTTTATTTAGATAGCTCTGTTTGGCATTTTCCACTATCATCTGTTTGATTCGATCTGTTTGAGCGGGTTAGGTATCTTAACTCCATTAATGGCGAAATATCAAACATTTATTAAGCTGGCTTTGAGCTGTTGGTTAAACATAATTTTGTATGGAGTATCTTAACCGTGTTGCTTAAGGATGAAATTTTTCATATGAGTGCAGTCTTTAATTTCCTCTGTTGCTATCGTTTGCTGATATTTCCTAGGACATGTATTAATGTTAGAAAACTTGTTATTACCTAATAGAGCTGTTCAGTTCAAAAGAGGCAAATATTAGATTAGTTCTCTCAGTTATGAATCTCTTCTGGCCTTTGATGTATTTTAGAATACAGTTAGAGTTGTGGCTGCATTTACCAGTGGAAGTAGTGCATATGTCGATGTTCCTTTTTTAATCTTGTCTCATGGACATCAGTCATTTTCTTCATTGTTTGCAATTTTTCCTTGTTAGAACTTCTCTTTTCATCACTTGAATAGAAGAAATACGTGAAGCGATAGGATGTTCTGGCTGCAGGATGCTGTTTTGTGGCATAAATACTGGACATTTATATATGTTACCCTGTACTTTCTTCCCAATGATTTTTTCCACCGTGTCTGTGCTATTGTACGGTTTTACTGGTGCGTCTATCTATTATCTTATTCCTCTCCATGATTTATAGAGTAACCTAATGCATTTTGCTTTCATAGTTGGTTATTTTTCGCTTTGTGAGTCAAGTTCTTTTACATAAGCAGATAATCCTTACATGATGCCTGATGTTCATAGCTGCATGTAAATAATATGACAAAAAGAAAAAGAAAAAAGGTTCCTCAGTATGATTTGAGGTACTTGCTCTTTCTTTTTTCTTTTTACTTTCTATTTTTAACTCTCTGTGTTGGGATGCAGATCTACAAAGCTCAGAGGAATATGATCTTATGCGTTGGTGCTTGCCTTCTTTACTGGTAAAAATGCATGGGCCTTTTTTCACTTTGTGTACTGTTGCAGTCCCGAGCGCCCTCTTTCACTATTTTTACGTGCCTGACATTTTTCAACTGCTGTTTCAGGTGTATTTACCGCATATGCAAGTATCACAGGGAGATTCAAAGCATGGAGGAAACTGAGAAGAGGTACAAGGAAGAATAGAGTAATGTCAGTTAAACATTTTTTTACGAAGGTTTGTGTTTGTGTTGAAACTATTATGTCATGGATGGAACATGTTAAGGACGTTTACTTTTCACCGGGTCTGTGGATTAATGAAAGTGAGCAAATTTTATGTCTGAAAACTACTTCTTATGATCATGTATGTGTGGTTTTGAGTGGCTTTTGGATACATGAGAAAAATGGGAATGTTGGGAATGTACTTCATTTTACTGGCCTACAAACAGAAATTTTGTTCAGAGTTGGGGAATTGTTGTTCTTTTTTTTTTTTATATAAAAAAAATAATAATTATAAAACAACAGTATGAACGAAACTGCATTTGTTATCATTACACAGGTGACCCAACCCGGAGCCTAAACCGAGAGGGACTCTATTATATGAATTTAATACGTTGTAATGTCGAACTTGATGTATTAATAATGTGATGGTAAGTGAAAGAATTATGCATCGTCGAATTCCCTTGAGATGTAATATTTAATTTTTATGTAGTTTATAAGAATCATGTAAAAATCAATACTGCAGATACAGTTTTACATGTCAAAATACATGTCAAGGGGTATCAGTGTATCACATCCAACACTTGCATTTCAGCGTAATTCTAAACGTATGTTGTATTCATTTTCTTAGATTATGTATGAAGTGTACGCTTCATGATTTTAAATTCTTGTAATATAACCATTAAAATATCGTTTCAAAAAAACTGTGTAACACACAAGTATTAGACTCATAATAAAGCTAAAAAACTTACAAATTATTCTTGTGTTTCGTAATTCAATCTGTTAATTTTTGAGATAATTGTAAACCAGTCCAAGTAACTTAGGTCCTTTTTCATTTTAGTTCAGTAGTTTAGGTCAATCCAAAATTAGACGAGAAACCATGGTTTTGAAAATCGAATCGGTTATCGAACCGTGGAGTTATGGTTCAATGGTTCACTGGTCGAACCAGCAGTCGAACCAGTTTAATTAATATATTATTTATTTATTTATTTATTTTATATGCATAATATTTATATATATTTTTATTATTAATTTTATAGTATATGACATTTCTCTAAATAATAGCTCAATAATAAATAGAATCGATAATGCGGAATAATTTTGTTAACTTTTTTTTTGTTTTTAATGTTTGTATTTAAAATTTTAATCTATAATTATTGTTTGAGTTACAAAATAGAATAGAAGCAACCCAATTTTCATTCTAAATCACATTTTAAATTTTTATTATTGATTAAAAAATAAAAAATAAAAATATTACGC